ACACTCACTCATGCTACTCAGAGAACCGGGGTTACGAAAGTAACCTAAAGTTTCCGTTCCATCTTTTTCAGATTTCTTTGCGACAGATATCCTAATAAAATCTCACCTCGAGACGCCTTCACATATTTGACACTTAAAATGTCTAAATCCCCAGATCAACATGTAACATTGTGTATTATTGTCTACTACTATGTAAGCATTTAGCTCTCTGAACCATATCTTAATTTAGAACGTCTTTCGTGGTACTTTTTAAAAGAAAAAAATATACAAGTATCTGTCTCTTCATGTGTTATATGTTTCTATTTGCACTATTAAGATAAAAAAAATGCAAGCCCTAATTGTCCCTGTAATAAATGTGTTATATCAAGTATAAACGTGTTTGTGATGCTATTTTTAAAGACAAAGACACAAAAGAGGAGAGGAGTCAAAAAGTTTTCCATTTTAAAGGTAAAGAGGCTTTACTCAGTAGCATTCACTCTGTGTGGATGTGGGCATATCTGATACATCTAAGTTCACACTTGATACACAAACTGTTTGCAAGCTGCAGTACTTTCCACACAGAGCAATTTGTCTGAAAACTCTGTGTGATAACACATAATCTTGGCACCAAGCCTCTTAGAAACAGATATATTTTTTAATCTGTATATTTTTACAGCTCTCTTGTTTTTATCATCAGCGTACAGCATCCTGCTGATTTGTTACACAGAGATAAAGTCAGATTTATTTGACTAAACTGGCTGGAAAAAGCAACAAGCAGCAGCTGTCTCTTTAAGAGAGAAATCATTTAGAGTGAGAAGTACAGATCCATATAGCTGAGATAAATCTGCATGGAGCAACTTAATAGCCACCAGCTGTGGGTTTATGTCACCCTTTTGATTCTCATCAGTTAAAATATTGTCATTGAGAAAATGAAGATGGCGCTTAAAGAAGCTTGAAAAGTCTCAAATGAGAGTCCCGTCCCCCCTTGAAGGCCGTTTTCGGACAGTTTTCCTGGTCGCTGCTTCACATTACTGTTTTAAAGGAAGGATGAAGAGATTTGTTCACTGATGTCAGGACTTGGAGAGAACGAAGTTTGGCTCGGAGACCGCAGCGCCAAGGAGGAGCTCAAAAAAGTTGATTTTACATAATACTCCTCCTTCAATGCATAGGTAGAATTCATTAAAAAACTGTTTTGCTAAATTATCTATGAGGCCCACAACAACCGACTGCTCTGCCATGTCTCCTATAAGTTCAAAGAGCTGAACTACAACTGTGGTCAAAGGAAACTCTTGCACAACAGTCCTGCTGTTGACAAAAGATAAGTTCTGGGTACTGAAAGCTGTGCTGACTGAGTGGGACTGTGTGCAGGATTTTACAGGCGTAATGTGAGTAAAAACGTGATTCTTTTCATCAAACCATAAATTTAAGTTAAACGTAACAGTAAAAACTGCAGAACCATGTCACATTATTTATAAGTGAACATGAGCGAATTCAGGCTGCAGCAACTGAAGAGTCACATTGTGTCCGAAAGACGGGTAAGCAGAGATCATTTTATAAATATTTATCTCAATTTATAGTTAATGTTTAACATATTATATAAGAGATTATTATGAGCTTTGGGTGAGATTAAAAATACAGTAAAAAAATACAACTTTTGATTCAATAATTTCATTAAGTTAATGTAAAATCTGTGCTATTTAAACTGTCCTCTGGTTTAAAGTCCTAGGCCAATATTAAAATGTAACTGAAGTTGAAAGTTGCAGATCTTGTGATCTTCTAAAGAAATTATTTTTGTATCTGAAGTGTCTTTGTTGTTCAGATCAAGTGTCTCAAATTTTAGAAGCCAACAGACAACATTTAATGTTCAGTGTAAAGAAAGAAACTAAGGCTAGAGATTATTTCAAAGTTAAAGTTTGGTTTTGCATCTATTACGTTTCTCCAGTCTCTTAATTTCCCCCAGTTAATATGTGAAGAAAGACAATTTGATTACAGTTTTCATCTCTTTTGAGCAATTGGACTACAAAAGAATTGACTGAATGATTCTTAGAATTTGTTTAAACATTACATCTGCATTAATTTATGTTGCTGTAGATCACAACTATGTCCGGCTCACCCAGTCCTCTGACCACCCATGTGCTGAACACAGCACTGGGGGTCCCAGGATCAAACATGACCATCAGACTTTACCAACAAGACCGTTCAGCCAATGTCTGGCATCTGCTAACCGCTGGGTAATACCATTCATACAGATCTACTAGGAGTCATATCCATTCACACATCTAAAGGCTTATTGTTCCTCAACAGGACAACTAACAGTGATGGGCGATGTCCAGGACTGATCACACAGCAGCAGTTTGTGCCTGCTGTCTACAAGTTGCACTTCGAGACCGGTCAGTACTGGGCCAGTCTGGGACAGAACTCCTTTTATCCCTATGTGGAGGTGAGAAAATGCCAGTTCAATCACCACTCCTAGGAACACGTGAACATTTGTAACCTCACTGACAGAGCCGTACGTAAGTGGCTTATCTCTGCTTTTTCCACCCAGATTGTTTTCACTATAACTGATCCAGACCAGACGTATCATGTGCCGCTGCTTGTGAGTCGTTTCTCCTTCAGCACATATAGGGGGAGCTAGAGAGCATCTGTCGTTAACCTCTTCCATCAACTTATCGCTATCTGACTGAAAAAAAAGCACTGGCAACTCCACTAATGACGCTCTTGGCAGCACTAATGGCGAAAGATGTATTTGTTTATTTTCCTTGAAGAAATTAGCACTACAACATTAAAATAAATGGTTATATGTACTACCACAAAACTATGCTGTAGTCTTACTGGTGCAAACAGTATGAGTTCTGTTAATGTTAAACTTTGGCATTTATTCTACTGTTTTTATAATTAGCTTGCAATAAAGTGATTATTAAAAGTGTTAATTAATCACAATGAATAATGTCACATTATATAAATTATGCCCAATGTATATAATTATCCGTATAAATTATGCAGAATTTATACAATGTAACATATAGTAACATGTTTACTTTAATAGATTTCTTCACAATGAAAATGCCTTGTTGTCATTTTTTCTTTAGTGTTGTGCATTTAAAAAAATAAAACAAACGTTGTTTTTCTTTCAGCATTTAAAGTCACACTGCAAGCATTGTATTTTTGTCATTAACCCTTTTAATTTTCTGCAAATAAATTCTTGTAAAAATAGTATTTTTTTATTTGGATCTGGACCGTTATCAATTATAGTTATACAGAATAAAACAACTCCTTTTTTCATATTTGATATTAATTCAGAAGTTAACACACAATAAAAAAGATACGTTTTTTTAAATCACTTTCTAAAATTAAATGAAATCAAACTTCTCGTTTTAGGTCAGTCAGAATTACCAAAATTATTTCTATTTGCTAAATGCCACAATAATGAAGTAAATAATATTAATTGATTAAACACACACACACAACACCCAAATACATGATATCTGAACAAGACAGGATCAGTCATCACCTGGAAACTCATATTCCTCCATGTAAAGTCTCATTTATTTATGAAAGATTTAGCTAAGGTGAGTTTCAAATAGAAAACTCGGTTCAGCAGCTTCATTGATCCCCCATCTGTGTTCCATTACTTTCGCCTGAGGGCATGATCTGTGTGATCTGCTCTCGACTATCCGGGGCTGTGCTAAGGTAGGGCCTTGTCTCTGATTCGAGAGAAGTGTGCATTTCGGGCACAATATCTTATCTTGTTTTATATCTGAAGGAAAACGTTACCGTGAATAACAATGGCAGACGAAGAATTAGAGGCGATAAGGCGGCAGAGGATGGCGGAACTGCAGGCGAAGCAAGGGGTAAGGACTGAACAGGAGCTGGAAACGTGTTGGAGGCCGCCTTATAAGGAGATGCTGGATTCAGTCAGTTTACTGCTAACAATGTGGCTATCCTAAACACTGAAAACCATCTGATTACAGGGTAGTTTTCCCAAGTACCAGATTACGCGAAGAAATTAAGCGAAATCCGAGCAAAGTGTAAAACTTTCCTCCCGTGGTCGGGTTAATCAGATGCATAGCAACATGTCAGTGTTAGCTTTGTGTTGTGTCAGCGCACACCCCCTGAAATCTGAAACTCTGCTAAAACTGGTCGACTTGTAAAAATAGTGTTTTTGTCGTTTAATAATACAACCGTTAAGTGTTGGATTAAAGTTGGTAAAGTATTTTGATATTCATTATTCAATTGCAAGCTCTTAATAAATGTCTAAATTTACAAGCCAGACTTTTTTTTGTGTGTAATCAATTAACAAAATATATATAGAATATTATGTTTGTTTTTCCTGTTTGGTTAGCTATTCAGTTGGAAATCATTACTTAATCAGGATAAAATTGACCAAATTTAACTTTGATACATACGTCAAATAAGGCAACTGATCAGTTATTTTTATAAATGTAAACACTTAGTGGATTTTAGGAAAATTTGGCAACAGTAAAACTCACTTGAAAAGTACAGACGCAGACATTAGTTTCTACATCTAAAACTCGAGTTTTGTTTAATTTATTTGTTATATGTAAAATTAATAATTACTTCAAACATGTTGTATGTTGTTAGAAATTTGAGCTCTTTGCAGTACATAATTCCCTTCTGAAGTGGTATTTTATTAGCTGAACGTTACTTATTGCGCAAAAATTACTGTTTTTTGTGGACTGAGCTAGCGCTGTATCAAATAGCATAGGTCAATTACCCAAAAATGTATTTAAGCCTTAACTGCATGGCAATGTCTATGTGATAATGTTTTATTTAAATGTATATATAAAAAAAAACCTACAGTAGTTTCACAGAGTTGTTTTTACATATCAAATAAATGTTTATCAAATTAAGTTGCAACTAGTTATGTATCTCTTTGAAGGAAACAAGAAATAAGTACATGTAATTGGTGCATCTATATTAACACAATACAGTTCAAAGCTAAACCTCATCTATTTAGAGAAGCCTTTGAATAATAATATCTATAACATTGAATAATGATGCATATTTGATAATGATTAATTTTGATTATTTGACTAAATGCCATCATTGTTCAAATGTACTGTACAAACAAACTTTGATCTGACAATAAAATGTATCTGAGGGTCATTGACGTGTGGGTTGCAGGATGATTTATTATCTTATTTTCACAAATTTATTCCAACCAAGAGCAGAAATCCTAAAGTAATGCATTTAAGAAGAACTGCAAACATCTAGGCAGTGTTCTGTAATTTTAGTGCAGATTTAATAGAGTAAAGCTGTGCTGTCTGTTTTCAGGATGCTTCAAATAATCAGCAAGGTGAAGAAGCTAAACAAAGGTAAGGTTCCTGGGATATTTAAAATCATGAAGCTGAAGTGATGAAGTATTTTTTCATTTAGTTGTACTCATCCTTCCTCTCATACAAGACAGTTGTTGGAGCAGTTCAGTACACACTAGGCACTCAAGTGATGTTGGATATGTCTCAAATTAATAGTGATAACACACCATTTTATACCATCATTATAATTTGTCCCTTAAAATTTGAACAATCCGGTTAGTTTACTGAACCATTTTTCCTCTTGCTGATGATTAAACAAAACAACTTCCAATAACATGAGTGTTATTTATTGCACTTCAGAATCACCAAGGTGACAGGCATAAGCTAATCATTGTTTATAATAACCTTATTGTACTTTGATTATGCACGGTGCAGATCTTTGCTGTGTTATTTGTCAACCATCAGCTTAAACATCAGGTTTCTTGATTATATATAAATCCTGTAAATATTCAGCCATGAATGTAATATTTGTTGTTGCAGCTGTGTGTCTGTGCAGGTGTTCTAGTGTATTTTTGCTTAAAATGATTTTCTTTTTTTAACTGAGTTCAGCTGAACCAATGTGGAAATGTAATTTTTGTTTATTCACAGAGAAACTGAAATGAGGAACTCGATATTGGCTCAAGTCCTGGATCAGTCTGCTCGAGCAAGATGTAAAGGCGCACTCAAATTTCGATTTTACTAAATTGCATATTTTGCATACCATTACACACATTTTTATTATTATTATTGTTTTTCCCAGTAAGCAATCTTGCATTGGTGAAGCCGGAGAAGGCAAATGCGGTTGAGAACTATCTGATTCAGATGGCTCGATTTGGAAAGCTAGGAGGAAAGGTAAGACAAAAAAAAATGCTTTTTGTCATGGCCATGGCAGAGTAACGAGCAAACTTCTCTCTTTTCAGATTTCTGAGTCCGGCTTAATAGAGATCCTAGAAAAAGTCAGTCAGCAAACGGAGAAAAAGACCACAGTTACAGTAAGTTCCCCTGAAATGTCTTAAAACCATCAATTCAGTTTCTGTCCTTCTCACCTCGCCCTGCGCTTTGTGCCTGACTTGCAGTTCAACAGACGGAGGGTGATGGACTCAGACGACGAGGACGATTACTGAGTTCAGACAGAAGCGTTGGAATGAGGCAAAAAAAAATTCCAGGAGGTGAAATGCATTGCTGGGATTCCGCAAGGATCTCTGACTCGTGTGTTCTCATCAAATTCCTGGGATGCCACACTACCTTCTGTGTCCTTGGAATGGAGACAACAAAACAGAAGAACAAGGATGTTAGGTTAATATTCTCCTGTGCGGAAGGGGATTTAAAGGAAGCACACAGTGTTCACAGAGGTTTTTGCAGGCTTGTACAACTTGTGTTGTACCCATGATAGCCATGATAGCACTGTCTGACTCCTCTTCTCAACAGTTCTGTAGTTTTTATTTCCCTCCTTATGGTTAAACTCTGTTTTGCAAACATAGGATACAAGACATTTATTTTATCTGAACTGTTCTGCAATCAATCTTTTTTCTTTATTATTCATAGCCAACATCCTGCTAGGTTTGAACATTTCTCTTACATTGTTTTCTTGTTGCTGACTTGTACTTCTAAAGTTTTCATTAAAAATAATAATTACAAAAGCCTTATACATTAAAACTTTTTTTTTCATCTTCAAGTATAACCATGATTCATTTAAGAATTTATGCAAATGAATCTGTTTCATTTAATTATACAGGAAGTTGGACCCATGATATTTCCAAGTTTTGGTTTAATTTCCAGAGCCAGAGTTAACAGATTGCCAATTTGTCCAAAAACTGTTGAAAAAAAAAAAAAAAAAACGTGAACAAATGTCTGTCTTTATCTCATTGTAATTTACTAGATTTAAAAGATTTGTTTTCCTGTATGTTGCAATCGCCTCATCTAGGTTGTGCACACCTCCTTTATTGCAATTGTGTAGGATGATGCCTGGCTTCCTGTCCTTACGGTTGATCAGCATCTTCCAAGCATAGTTGGTTTTGGCATCACAGGTTGCACATGACTTGATCCCATATTTTACTAGCCTTTAATGCAGAAGAGCAGTGTTACATCTTCATGACATTTTGTTTCGTCATCGTATCATATTTGTATGATGCTGGGGGCCATGTTATTTTTATTATTTTTTGACAGAAAAGACTCTCCTTCAGCTTTAGGCATTTCTTCTTGTATGGTTAAATCAGCATCTTCCAATGAGTTTGATTCCTCGCAATCTTTTTTTAATACCTCTTGCGAATCAGTTGTGTTGCTAGTCATTTGGGGGGAAAAAAAAAAAAAAAGTTTCCAGAACTTGTTCAGCAGTGAAATGCGAACTCATGGGTGCAGCAGATAGGATTTGGTGTACTGTAATCTGTATCAACTTTATCCACCTTAGTCCTGGCAGAATGAAACCATTATGGGTCCTACTTCCGGTAGACACCGGAAATAGCAGAAAAGCACTGGCTTTCATTGGACACGTGCTAATTTACGCTTATCGTAGAAGTTACATTTCTATTTTGCGAACTAATATCGTTTAATATTAAACAAAAATAGTCTTTTCTAAATGGTTACCGGATGCTGAATTACAAGGTATCACAGATGCAGTTAATACAAAGTTGACAGATAAATGAAAGATTTGTAATTTATCTAAAAAAAATACATAGCAAAAATATAGAAATAAAGTAGTTTGTATTTAACTAATTTTCTTCAGTAGTTAAAAACCAAAAAAATCTTTTTATTTTGTTTGTTAATTTTGACGATTAGGGCTAACAGCTGCTTATACCCTCAAATTCTGTTTTCAGAAAAGAAAAATAAAGCCAATAAAATACTTTATACCATGGTCTTTTGAATTTCACTTTTGAATTGAATCACTACAATATATGAACTTGTTGGTGATATTTCAGTTTATCAAGCTGCAACATGTATGTTGCTTTTTGAAAACTTATTAGTTTGCTACAATAAAACAGGTCCCTGAGTAGGTGTGTGTCCTTGCTCCACTTCTGCATGACTGTGGTCAGATGGTTGCTCATTGGCCACTTGGACTTTTACGTCAATAAAGGTCCATCTGATTGGTGGAGAGTAAAGCCACATGTTTTTGATCAACCAATCAGAAGAGCTTGCTAGGAAAAGGAGCTACAGTGTGCTTGGATTAGCAATAGAGATCATGCTAAACACACGAAACTCTTCGAACCAAGGAGGTTAAGTTTGCAGGTAGCCCCAAAATCGGCTTACAGACAGAACTATGCCTGAAGACAGCATGGACAAACCGAGTATAGTTACGTGCACCGCTCCTGTGAATATAGCTGTCATTAAATACTGTGAGTATCGCCTGGACTTGTTTGATTTATCCTCAGTTGTTTTGGTTATAGTCGTGAAACAGCTTAAACATCCATAACATTACATTACCTTTATATGGTGGTTTAAAAACTCCATATTTGTGACCATTTGAGTGAAAATCATCCTTTAAAGTCTTTAATGTTGCATTTATGTACTGTGCTTTTATAACTCATCTTCTACTAAATTGACTACCTTATATTGCAGGGGGGAAGAGGGATGAAGATTTAATTTTACCCATCAATTCATCTTTGAGCGTCACTTTGCATCAAGATCAGGTTGGGAAAATTGCTTCTGATTGCAGCTAATGAATAACAAAAGTTAGGCGTTCTTGCTATTTTTAACACTTTATACTTTAGTAAATATTAATAAGCAGCATATAGGCTTGTTAGTTGTTTCTTCATTTGGAGTTTCTTCTTTATAAACCTGGCTGCCTGAAAAACACAGGTGTAAAAATTGTGTGCATTTCTAAAAAAAAAAAAAAAAAAAAAAAAAAAAAACTCAGCAGGATAGTTTTTTTATGTGCTAAGATTTTTGTATATGAAACATATTTACAATGAAAATGTAGCAGCAACATTAGTATTACAGAATGAGCAATATATCTTAAAACAAACAAGAGTAGTAACAACTGATTACAAAAGTATTTGTATCGTTTAATATTCATTTAGTTTCACGTTGCGTGAAAAACAATGGGACCATGCCAGCTTTATTCAAGAAATAATGATGTAAGATTATCTAACCATCCCATTTCCCGTTTGGATGCCTGTAGTTTTTCATGCTTTTGAACTATCCTTCAGTCTTAAAATGTGTGACTGACTTGGTCTACTGCTTTATAGACCTTTCTTTGTACATTTTTGAAGGTCATATCAAACTTAGAGAAAAAAACAACAACTTTGCCTTTCTTTTGGACATTGAGTTGTGTAAATTGGAGTACATGATGATAATTTATGGTATCAGTAATTAAATGCTGCGTGGTATAAACCTGTCTTGCATTATTTCCTTTGCTCAGTTGAAAACGACAACAACCGTTGCAATCAACCGATCCTTTCAGGAGGACAGACTGTGGCTCAATGGCAAAGAGGAGGACATTACCCATCAAAGACTGCAGTCCTGCCTGAGGGAAAGTAAGTCATGTCTGTTTAGGATTTCCTCTTGAAGTCTGCAGAGTACAGAAATGGTATTCTAGTTAAGCAGAGGCTATTATCAATTTTTTTTTCCTTCTATTTAGTCAGACGATTAGCGAGGAAGAGGCGTAGTGATGGAGACGCTCGTTCGGAGGATTCGGTGGGATTGTCTCATAAAGTCCACATTTGCTCTGTTAACAACTTCCCCACTGCTGCTGGACTCGCCTCTTCAGCAGCTGGATTTGCTTGTCTTGGTGAGCTTGTGTATTTTTTAGTTATAATGCTGTTATAATGCTTGAAAAAAGTGACTACTTAATATGCAAATTTAATTGAGTAGATTTTTATTATTTTTTTTTTTTTACCAGTCTTTTTTGTTCTGTGCATTTTGTGTTGCAGTTTATACTCTGGCTCAGGCATTCGGTGTGGAAGGAGAGCTGTCTGGGATTGCTCGTCAGGGCTCAGGCAGTGCCTGCAGAAGCATGTATGGCGGCTTTGTCCAGTGGATCATGGGAAGCAAAGAGGATGGGAATGACAGTGTAGCCCAGCAGGTGGAGCCAGAGAGCCACTGGCCTGAGCTCAGGATTCTTGTTCTAGTGGTAGGTCTGACTGAGAACTAAACTGTCACAACAGGGAATAAAAATGTTATTGTGAATTGTAGTTGCCATTTATATATCTACAAATAAATAGTTATTAGTTTAGTTTTTCACAGTAGCTTAAAAATATTGAAATATTCTGTATAAAAAGATACAGAATCATTTTTTTCTTCTGAATTGGGCTTTACCTTTTTCTGTTCTCAGGTCAGTTATGGAATACCAGAATTAGTTCTGTTTGATAAATGCCATAATAATGGGGATAATGCAATATACATTTTTATAGTTCTGTTTTCTTAAAGGTCTTTTACAAATATACATTTAATATTTTGTAGGATTGTGTTTTATCCTGTCTCCGTTTGATCAACTTCTCACAATATCTAGCTGTACCTCTGTCCCATTCCTCCACTCAGAGCTGGTTTAACTGAGTGAAGTTTGGAAGACCTTCTTGTACCCAAGCCTCAACTTCCTGGCCAATATCTTGAGATGTTGCTTCAGTGCTTGTGTGGTTATTATGGCCAAACACTTTAGTTTCATCAGACCAGAAAACATAAACCCAAAAATCTCACTTTGTCCCTGTGTACATTTGCAAAGTGTAATCTGTTTTTTTGTGCGTTTCTTGTGGAGTAATGGCTTCTTCCTCGCTGAGTAACCTCACACTTTTTTTCTTTCTTTCTTTCTTTTTAGGTTAGTTCTGAACGGAAACCAATAGGGAGCACCTCTGGGATGCAAACCAGTGTACAAACAAGTTTACTGTTACAGGTGCTTTATTTGAGTCCTACACTGTGTTTTTAATCGGAGCGGTTGAAACACTGAACGTGATTTGTGTGTTTGTGCGTAGCACCGAGCAGAGGCTGTCGTCCCACGTCGGATGGTAGATATGATCGAAGCCGTGCGAAGGAAGGATTTTCCTGCATTTGCAGAGCTGACCATGAAGGACAGCAACCAGTTTCATGCCACCTGCCTTGACACGCACCCACCTATCTTCTACCTCAACAGTGTCTCCCAGCAGATCATTCACTTGGTGCATCGGTATAACAAATACTGTGGGGAGACCAGGGTGAGCAACTGGAAAATCTTTTTCCTAAACTACCAATATGACTAGATTATTCAGTTTTAAAAAACTGTCAAAGTTTAAACTTGGCACAATTTTCGTTATCTTTGTCTATTTTTTTTTAAACACAAATTTGCCTAATTTGTTGCAGCTGAACTTGTCAGGTTGTGTAATGAAGATGTGAAACCTGTAGGTTGTTTTTGAAATGAGGAACAGGAAAGATCATCTCTCAAGCTGCTCGTCACACCCTGTCTGCTCTCTCGTAGGTGGCCTACAGTTTTGATGCTGGTCCCAACGCTGTGATCTTCACTCTGCAGCAGTTTGTTCCAGAGTTTGTGCAGCTGGTTCAGCACTTCTTCCCCCCAGACAGAAACGGAGAAGAGTACGTTAACAGACAACACAGATAAATGTAGTTTTTTAAGAGTAATTGTATTCATTTCTCAGTCATTTTAATTGTTTTTTAAATTAGTTTTGAACATTTTCAGAACAATCCCTTTAAGCTTCCCTTTGAAGACATTTTCACATTTGTTTTTGCAGTGGTGCCAAAAAAAGATCTTGCGTTGTTTATGTGAATTTAGCAAATCAGAAGTCAAGCTACAATAAGTCACAATGACCCACATTTGGCAACCATTTTAAATATGTTCTGATGTTGTCCATGTTACCAGCTACCAATTGGAAACAGTTTTTCAATATAGATAATAGTTTAATTTGTAAGATTTCTGCTGGTTCTTTCTT